CCTCGCCTGCGCTGTCGCTGCGGATCGGGCGTCGCTTCGGAACGCTGGCGGGCACGGTGGGAATCCATGTGGTTCCCCTGGGAGTTGATCTGGCCCCTGGTGTTAAGAGGAGTGGGAAGCAGGCCTGTAGCAAGAAGAAAGGTAGACTTGCCGATATGATTCGTAGGCATCGTAAGCTCAAACGTTTGAGAAGGGCCCTCCCCAGGGACAAAAGTAGGATTGGGAAGATCTACGCGGCGGGGGCCCGAACTGCGGTGTGTTTCGGGGACACGGTCACGGGCTGCAGCGATGCTGAGCTCAAGAAGATCAGGTCGGTTATGCTTTCCTTTTCCGCACCCGCTCATGCGGGAGTCTCGGACCAGGCGAAGACAGTGCTGCTTGGCGATCCAGTTTGGCGCTGCATGGTCGCGCCTGCCTTAGCTTGGGCAGCTGCCGTGTGGCAGACGACAACTAAGCCCGCGCTCGCCTTTTTCACGCTTCCCGAGCTGCGCAACGCGTGGTTGGCGGTGCCGCAGGACGGTCCCACGTGGAAGAATTCGAGGGGCCCCATTAGCCGTATGTTCCTGTCCCTTCAGCGCATTGGGTGGGAGGCCCTGGGACCGCTTCTGTGGAAGGATGACAAGGGAAATGAAGTCTCGCTGTTATACAATTCCCCCGCGATGTTAGGATCCCTCCTGCGTGAAGGAGTCCAGAGGCACCATGAGAGGTCCCTGGCCGAAAAGCTCGGATGGGGGGAGGGGGGGCGCGTGTGTGTTGAACCGATACGTCGTATCACTCAAGCGTTGGGCAAGGGTATTGGGCTCAACGCTCAAGGAACATATATGGTTAAGTCCCGGTTCTGTGATGGGTGTTGGTGTGAAGATCGGGCCGCCAAAGCTGGCTATTTATCATCGGGATTGTGCCCCCCCTGCAGTCTGCCCGATTCGCTGCAACATAGATTGTATCACTGCGTGGGTAGTCCTGAGGTCCGTGCCGCCCGATCGGCCGTTGAGGCCAGTGATTTCTTTTACCAGCAGGCGCAGGATGGCCCCAGCGAGTTCTACACAGGACTCAAGTTTCGCCACCCTGCTAGTTCATGGCCGCCACCAAGCGACGAGCGCGAGCCCATGCTGTTCGCCGAGGACGGTTCGCCTTTGTCATGGGGCGATTTCGACACCGCTGGTTTGAGTGTGTCTGGAGATGGGTCCTGCGCCCCGCATGCCATCAAAGAGCTTTCCAGGGCATCGTATTCGCGGGTCTTCATGGGGCCCGAGGGTCAGCAGGTGGCGACGGCGAAGGGCACGGTCTGACCGTCGCTTCCGCAGGCGAGTCAGGCAGCAGAGCAGCTGCAGCTGAGCCTGTTTCCTATTATCGTGCCGCGGCACGGGGAAGCGTGTTACAGCGACTGCATGAACGCTGTTCGGTTGCACAACAGTACGCCCCAGCAGCAACTCAGTCGCAAACACAAGTATGCGGGCCCGCGCAGAGGAGCGTTACAGCACATGGTTAACAACAAGTATGCCCCAGCTGTTTTAACCTCAGCGCACAGAGAGATGAGTGTGTTTGATGCGCTCCCCGCCCCTGAAAGATGGGTAGGTCAGGCCAACTGGCAGGCGGATTTAGTAGCTAAGACGGCCCTCCGACCACACCCGCAACCGTCTGTTGCGGAGGTAGAGGCGGTCAACAATGCGGTGGAGCATCTCCAAGCAGTCGCTCGCCTGGCCGCGGGGATCCTCCCACTGTTTCCGAGGGTCTAACGCCAGCGACCACCGACAAACGAGCGCCCCGTCAAACTTTTTGATAAGAACGATGGCTGGCACTCCTGGGGGCCCTGGCTTTGGGGCTCTAGATGCGTTAGTTGTTTGAATTTCTACAGTGGAACGAAGGACTCGAGACCCGAGGCGGGTTGTTCTGGTTTCCCCGCGAGGGTTAAGGAGCTCTTGACTCTGCCCCCGCGTCACGGCCATCAGTTGGCCTCAACTCAGGTGGCAAACCAGTCGAAGCCACTTTTCTTTTGCATGCTGTGTGGTTGTTTTGTCCAGCATAGGATATTCAAGTTAGCTAAGCGCTGCCGCCAGCCCCGCGCAGACGAGGGCAGGAGCAGCGCTGGAACGACGGCGCTCAGGAGATTGCGGAGAGGACTGCATCCCAAGAGAGAGCGGTCAGTCACATGCGCGGAGCATGAAGCTCCACTCGCCCTGCAAGAGGCGAATTCATACGAACAGGCGGTCAGGCCTGTGCGTATTCCAGCTCATGCCAGCTACATTGACAGGCTGGCGGCTCTGCGAGCTCGCATTGCTGCGAAGGAAGCGAGGGCGTTGGAGCTGGGAGGGGGTGGGGGAGTCGTGGGTCAGGCTTCGGCTGAGGCGGCGTCGGATAGACTTGCCCCCGAGCCAAGCGACGCGATCGCAGAGGACGCAGCTGCGCAGTTTCGTTTTGAGGGTGGAGAGTCGCCCCATGCGGTGGCACCCGCCCTCGACTCAGATCCCAGGTCCAGACTCGATCGAGCGGACCCCTCGCGAGGAGGGGAGGACAACGCTTCCCAGGTCGCAGGCAAGGTCCAAGATGACCTTGATTCGGGATCCTCGGACTGAGGCGAGTCGAGAGGCGGCTGGCCAAGGCCCACTCCCCGTTTGGGAGGGGTGCGCTGTGGTCTCCTGCCCCTCGCCACCGCCCAGTCTGGCGGGCCGCTGTGCGGCCCCTTTGTAACTGGTTCGGTCAAAGGTGACCCACAAAAAATAGAAAACACAGGTAACATCCCATGGCCGTCGCGATCGAGCTTATAGTCACTGCTGCGCGTAAACAATCATATGGCCGCAAGGGAACGTGCGGGGGCACGCCCGACTCAACTGAGTTTGTTTGTCCTTTTGCACCTAGTCTCATACGGGCTGGATAGATGTCAAGGATCAAGACATCAGACACAACAGAGGGTCCCTCCTGTCGGGTCCTTGTGGAGCGTCTCTGGGATCCAGGCGGCCCGCTCCCATACCCATACTCCTTGCGTGGCGGCACGGCGGGCGGGGCCAGGACAGGGCTACAACCGTTCCAGAGCGTTTCAGAGCGTTCCGGCATGCTCTGAGAAGGCCGCGGGGCCCGATATGCATCCTCCAGAACCGCCGGATCTCAGAGATCCCCAGTTTGTCCCCGTCCGATGCTGCCCTTGCCTTGGCCTGGTGCGCGGTGCGTCCCAAGGTCGTCCCAGGCATCTCTCGTGCTTGTAGGCTGGTGGGTGGTGCGTCTCGGGTGCCTTCCGAGCGTGCCAGCTCGAGGACGGCGCGTGTCGGGGCCGGGCAGCGTCGCGTGCCAGGATCGTCCCCCAGGTGCGTTGCGAGCCTGCCAGCTCGAGGCTGGTGCGTCTCGGGGCCAGGTCAAGGTGCGTGCCAAGATCATCCGAGGTGCATTCCCAGCTCGCCGTCTCGAGGATGGTGCGTTTCAGGTTCGTCCCACTTCGCCGGATAGGAAACGATGTGCTTTTGTTACAGGATCTCCGATGGCGCCTTGATTGTGTGTTCCGACGGCGCCCCATCAGCAACGCAGTGTTTTTGCTGTGCTTCTGATGGCGCCAAATCGGGAGCATGTTTTTTAGAGTGTGTGTGCGTGTGTGTGTGTGTAAGTGTGTGTAAGTGTGTGTAAGTGTGTGTAAGTGTGTGTAAGTGTGTGTGTGTGTGTTTGTGTGTGTGTGTGTGTGTGTGTGTTTCGATGGCGCCATACTCGTGGATTTCTATGGTCTGCGGAGGGTGCCCGACAGTGGTCAAACGGTTTACAAGAGTGGTCGACCTGTGGCCTTCCTTCCAGGCCTTCTTGTGCCCTCCGAACTTTTTGAGTTCCACTTTTCAGCGTCTCACGGGCGAAGGCAACCTGTGTGCTCAGCGTTCGGACGAACAGAGCTCCTTTGTGTGCTTCTAAGCCTTGGGGCTTAAAATCAACTTGCGTTTTTTTCATGAGCCCCAAGGCTCACGGACGAAAGGATGCCGTGCATTCTGTTCTGTGGGTTTCGAGGCTTGGATCCCCAGGCTCGCGGGCAAAGCGAGCCCCTTTGGATTGCAGGTCCCCTGGCTTACGGGCGACAGGAAAAACAGCCTGGTTGGCCGAGATGTAGCGGGAAATCAACAATTTCGAGACGCTTCGAGTAACCCCGCCAGCCCGTAGCCCCTCTGGCTCAAGGGCGCCGATTGCCCCGCCCCAGCTCCCACCCCCCCGCCGCCTCGCACGCGGGCCCCGCGGCGGGCCGCGCGCGCGTGGGCGCGCCAGGGCCATCGCTGGGGGTAGGAGACATGGCCCCGGTGACGCCCGAGATGGAGAAGAGCCTGTGCAAGGACGCCCTGCCCCTGCGGCCGGGCGAGGAGGGCGCGTTGGAGGGGACGCTGGAGGTGAGGAGCGCCGGCGTGGTGGGCAGGTGGACGCCCTACCACTTCGTGCTGGCGCGCGGGAGGCTCGTCAGGTACGCGATCGGCCCCGAGGGGCATCCGGAGGAGCTGCCCGAGGCCGTCATCTCCGCGTCCGATCTGTCCAAGCTGGAGCTGCGGGACGCACAGGACGACAGGCGCGAGCTCTGCATCACCGTGGCGAGCCCCGTGGAAAGCAAGGCCTACCGCCTGCGAGCGGAGCTGCCCGAGGAGGCGCAGTCGTGGCTGCAGGCGCTGGAGGCCGCGCGCGTCTCCGCGCGGCCGAGGGCGGCGGGGCAGGGCGCCCCCCGCGAGCTGGTGCAGAGCACGCCGTTGGATTCGCCCACCAAGCTTACCACCGGCAGCACGGCCACCCCGCGGTCGCAGGCCGTCTGGAGCCCGCTGCCGAGCACCCGCGGCGGGCGCTCCGATGACCTTGCCGGCCCGCAGGCGGCCGCGGGCTCCCGGCGCGCCTGGCGGCCCGCGGGCGCCGCCCGGCTGGACGGCATCGTCCAGGCCGAGGCCCGCGGTGGAGCCTACTCGAGGGCGTCGTCGCCCGCGTCGCCGCGGTCGCAGGCGTCGCCCTCGCCGCGGTCCCGGTCCGTCTCGCCGCGGACGCCCCGCCGCCTGGAGGAGATGCACAGCCTGCACCACAGGAAGCATCAGGTGTTCGAAGAGAAGCGGAGCTGCCAGGAGAAGGAGGAGCGCAGCAAGTGGCAGCAAGACTACGATTCAGTGATGGCCAAGACCAAGAGCCCCAGGAACCAGAGCTCATTGGAGGAGGCGTCTGCTCGGCTGTACGAGGACCACGTCGCGCGGCGTGCCGGCTTGGAAGAGATGAGAAGGAAGGTCCAGCATGAGCACGAGCAGCAGATCGAGGCCACGCGCTTTCGCAGGCCGGCGAGCGCCGCCAACATCACGCCGAGGGGCACCACGGCGCCCAAGGGCTTCGTGGAGCGCACCCAGGAGGACGCGGAGAGGCGCAGGAAGCAGCGCGAGGAGGCGGACCAGCAGGCGCGGCCCCGGAGCGCAACCCGGCGCGCCCGCAGCATCAGCCCCGCGCCGGGCTGTACCCCGAGGATCGCCGAGCTCTACGAGGACAAGGCTCGCAAGGCGAGGCAGGAGAAGCTTGAGCTGGCCGCCAAGAGCGAACTGGAGCAGCAGCATTCGTTCCGCCCCGAGCTGAAGGCGAAGCCCGGCAGGGCGGCGCGCCCGGGGCTGGAGGCGCGGCTGGAGGAGATGCACCGCGAGCACGCCGAGCGCCTGAAGAGGAAGAAGGAGCTCGCGGCTAAGGATCTCGGCAACACCCCAACATACTTATACTATATGTGCGTCGCCCCCCCAGGGGCGACGCGCGCACCGAGAAATCTTCTAGTATATGCGTCGTGGCGGGCGCTTTCTGGCCACACCGCTCGGGAAACGATATACTACAAGATGGGTATACTATATGTCTGGGTCGGACGCGCGCCTCCAAGGATAACATGTAGTACTAGTACGTTTTTGTGCATCCCAAAGGAGGAGGAGCGGAGGCTGGAGGAGGCGGCCGCCTTGGGCACGCCCTCGCCGAGGCAGACCACCCCCAGGCGGAGGGCGACGACGCCCCGCGCAGGCCTGCCTGACGTCGTGAGCCTCTCGATGATCATGCACGGCCTCGACCTCTCGCTGCTGACGGACGCCTTCAACCGCCGGTTGCACGGCGCGATCTCGGAGGCCGTGATGGGCGCTGTGCTGTCCGAAGCGCCCCCGGCCGCGGCGCACGCCGCCGCCAGGGTCTCCTTCGCGGCGGCGCCGCGGCTCGGCGGCGGCGCCGCAGGCAGGGGCCGCGCCGACCCGGCGTCGGCGCTGGCCTGCCAGCTGCAGGCCGAGGTCATGCCCCCCAGCGGGGTCACCGCGACGGCCGTCGCGGCGCGGCTCCGGGCGTCCTCGTGCCTGGGCGAGGCGCTGGCGGCGGCCGTGAAGGCGGTCCCAGGCCTCGCCGCCGTGGGCTTCCGCAGTGAGGTGGCGATCTCGGACCTCCGCGTGGCCACCGCGCCAGCCCAGGAGCCGTGGCGGGAAGGAGGCCAGGTCTCCAGCCGCCAGACGCAGGGCGGCGCCACCTCCAGGTCCTCGCGGCCCTCCACGCCGCAGGGTCGCGGGGGTGCGCGCTCGGCGAGCCCGGCACCGGGCACGACGCGCGCGGACCACCTGGTGGCGGCGTTCGCTGCCAGCGTGCAGCGGCGCTGCCCCCTGGACCCGCCGCTCGCGCCCACGGCGCTGCGAGGCCTGGTGGCACCGCTCAACGATGCCATAGAGGCGTTCAGACAGGCCGCCCGCGAGTGCCAGCACTCCGAGGGTTTCGCCGCCCTCTGCCAGGTGCCCTCGCAGCGGCTGCTTGTGGACGGCACCGGCAGGCGCCGACTGTTGAGGCCGGAGTCGTGGCCGAGCGGCGCGGAGCCCAGCCCCATTTGGCAGGCGGAGGACAGCCTGGACGAGCTTCTGGCCACGGCGGCGGAGGCCCAGCACCTCCTCCAGGAGGCGGTGTCGCCGAGCAGAGACGACCAGCCCTGGCTACCGGGCGAGGTCCGGCAGCGGCCCCAGAAGGTGCCCACGGCCCTGTTCGCCTACGCCTCGGGCCCCAAGGCGCGCGCCGCCGCGGAGACCAAAGCGCTCGTGCTGCACGGGCCCGCAGAGGGCCCGCGGCGCTACCGGCACGTGCTGGACCTGGCGCGCCTGACGCTCGTCTTCTCCACTTGCGACCTCTTGCAGGCGGGCTTGTCAGTCCTCATGGAGAAGCTCGAGGTTGTTCACGTGCGGAACTATTTCGAAAACCCGAACCAATTGGGAGCGAAGTACATCGAGGTCATCGTGGTCGTGGACGTGCAGAAGCCCGGCGGCCACACCGTCCCGCACTTGTGCGAGCTCCGGCTAGAGGAGACGTGCTTCTGGCAGGCGCACCAGGTCGCCGCCCCGCACTTGGAGCAGCTGGTCGCCCAGGTGCACCAGCTATACGGCTCCAGCTGCAGGGGCATGGAGGACTCCGTGGCCTACATGGCGCGCGCGACGCTGGCAGCCACGCAGACGCGCCACAGCCTGCGCTTCCTGCGCCAGCGCCTGTCCGCCCGCTTCGGCTCCGCGGTCTGCGGCTGGCGGCGCGCGCTTGGCGCCGGCGGACGGTTGCTGGCGTTCGGGCGACTCCGGGAGGCTTGCAAGACGTTGAAGTGCCAGGATTCACCACCCACCAAACCACCCCAACCCAACCCGAAGGCTCAGATTTGCCCTCCATTTCCAGTGGGGGGGGTTCGCGGAACGTCGAAAAAACACGTATGGAACCCTTACCCCCCCCCAACCCGAAATTCGGGTCTTCGGGTTGGGTTGGGGTGGTTTGGTAGGTAGTCAAGGATCAGATCATGGAGTATTGGTCCGAGCTCGACGCGAGCTACGGCGGATGCATCTCTCTCTTCGAGCTGGACCCGGAGGGCACGGCCCTGCTGGCCAGGCTCCGCGAGCGGTTGCTCACCTCGGCCGGCAGCGCCGACCCCGCCGAGATGCACCGGCAGCTGGCGGTGCTCGGCCAAGGCCGTGAGGGCGCCCCGCTGTCGGCCGCAGAGTTCCGGGCCGCCGCACGCGTGTTGGGCTTCTCCGCCACCGAGGCCGAGCGCTTGTTCGCGCACCTGGACACCGGGGGCGGCGGCCCGAGCGAGGAGCCCGGCTGGGTCACCGCGGTGGACGTCGCTTGGCTGAAGCGGTTGCCCAGCTTGGTGGACTTGGGCGCCTTGGCGCTCTCGCCGGGAGAGGGCGCCGCGGGTTCGCCGCGGGGATGGCGGGCGGCAGCGGGCAGCCGGCCGCAGCTGGTATCGGGCCTCTTCAACCTCCTGGACAACGCGGCGTTGTCGGGCGCGGGCGCCCTCGACGCCCTGGGCCTGCCGGGCGCGGGCGCCGTGCCGCCGCGGCGGCTAGGCCCAGCCCAGCTGCGCCGCTACGCGTGCCTCTGCGGCTTCGAGGGCACCGACGAGGAGTGGAGCGAGGAGTTCAAGGCGATCTGCGAGCGCTACGAGTGGAACGCCAGCATCGGGGCCGATGCCCGGCAGTTCTCCCAGCTGGTGGACGACCTGGAGGGCGGCGGGTACTGCCCCACGGACAAGCTGCACGACATGCTGGCCGGAGTAGCCCTGGTGGATACCACGAATTCTCCGTGCGCAAGAATTGGGAGCTGGCATTCCTACCGTTATGAGCACCGGTCACAGCAGGCGACTGGGCACCGGGAGGCGCTGACAGCGGCGCTGTTCCACGAGCTCGACGCCCAGAGTGCCGGATTGCTTGGACCGCAGCAGGTCCGGCGCTTCGCCGAGCTCTGCGGCTTCAGCGGCGGGGACCGCAGGTGGGCCGAGGAGTGGAAGGCAATGTGCCACACCTTCGACTGGAACCCCTCCCAGGGCCTCGACTTGCACCGATTCACGCAGCTCGTGGATAGCGACTTGGTCGTCTACTCCGACGACGACCTGCAAGACCTGCTGTCGCAGCAGCGGCTGCGGGAGGCCGCCAGCGGATTTTCCGGACGCGCCGCTGCAGGCGGCCCCGCCGCGGGCGCCGCAGGGCGGCAGAGGTGTGGCGTCGGCAGCACGGGCAGCAACCAGCAGAGTTGCTTCGATTGGAGTGCGGGCGGCGGAACGCATTGAGCCTCGGATTTGATCGTTGACACGCGTTTCACCACTCGGCACACATGACAGGAGCATTGCATGCCCAGCACAGCATGAGGCTTAAAGCTTCGCCGTGCATTTTTGCTCGTTCATTGTAGGAGGGACAGAAACGAGAGTACCCGAGCGAATGTATTGGTTCTGTTTCACATTGCAGCAGCCGGGCAGTTATCCGATCTTGGCCCCGAGGTCTCGGGTCGGGCGAAAGGGGGGGATTGGGAAAGGGGGGGTACGAAATTTGCTGCATGCAGCTGGTTTCGGCCTCACCGAGGGGCCCATTCCTCGATACATAGCCGCCTCCGGCGCCGGGAGGCGCCGGGAAAATCAGCTACGTGAGCTGATTCTCAAACCCCCCCTTTGCTATCCCCCCCTTTCGCCCGACCCGAAGGTCGTAGAGGGTAGCCACTCGCGCAGTGGACAGCCTGTTGAGTGTGTGTGCTCGGCGGTGTGAGCTGCCGGGCGGCGGCACGCTGCGCCTCTGGCTGGCCCTCCTCCTCCTCTCTCCCTTCCCTCGCGCCCTCGCCCTTCACTCACTCCCATCGTCCCCTGGTCCGTCTTTCCGATCTCGCGAAGCGAGACAGCGAACCAGGAAATTAGGACTGAGCGGTGGGACCAACCCCAGGTAGCATCAATGATTGTTGCTTCCAGCCAGCCGATGCTTTCTTGGACGCTCCAACTACCCGCGGGGCGCCCCGTCCAGGTCCAGGGAGGGGCGTACGTGGGGGGAGGGATAACCCCTTCCCCGGAAGGGCAAGAGGGAAGATGGAAAAGGAACCGCGCTAGACCACCTCCGCCCAGAGGGCTGGCGGGAGTGGGGCCCAAGGGCTGCAGACGAAAGGGATCCTTGCGTTCTGTGCGCCCCTGGGATCAGGCTCGAGGCTCACGGGCGAGAGGAGCCCCTGCCTGCTGTGAGCCCCCAGGCTCACGGGCGAAAGCTCCCCTCGTGACCCTCGACGAGAGAGAGAGAGAGAGAGAGAGAGAGACAGGCAGACAGACAGGCAGACAGACAGACCGACCGACCAGCAGACAGACAGACAGACAGACAGACAGACAGACAGACAGACAGACAGACAGACAGACAGGCAGGCAGGCAAGCAGGCAGGCAGACAGACAGACAGACAGACAGACAGATAGACGGACAGAAATATAGAAGGAGAGATCGAGAGAGACAGACAGACAGAAAACGAACGATTTATACATATATATATAGAGAGAGAGAGAGAGAGAGAGAGAGAGCTACGCGCATGTTCCGACCCTGGCCAGGCCAATCCTGGGGCCAGGGTCGGTGCATACGCCCACCCTTGTCTGGCCATGGGGGGGCATACGTGTGCACCGATCCTGGGCTTGGGCTGAGCCTGGCCAGGATCGGCGCATGCCCATGGTTCTCTGCGCCCGAAATCCGTGGGTCCCCAGAGGCTTGCTGAGGAAAGGTCGCCTGGAGTCTTTCTTGTGGGCCCCGAGGCGTGCGCGATGGTCTGGGCGGGTCTGGTCTGGTCGGGAGTTGGGCCTGGCCCAGGACCAGGCCGGACCAGACCTCCGTCTCTCCTCCGTATAGCTTCTTTGGCTTCCGTTCAGCGTCGTCGGCATCGTCCTCCATCTCCCGGCCACTTCCTTGTTCTTTTCATACGTTTCGCAAATATTTGTCCAATGCCAGCTATAGGGTGCGCTGCTGGAAAAAAAACAAACGGTGAAGACCACACGCTCCCTTTACCAATCACTCTTTCACTCTTGGACTGCTATTGTGTCAACAGTTTGTGTCGTTTTACCCCCAACCTCCTACCACCATGGTACGTTGGGGATGCAGCTTTCGATTTGAGCACGTTTGAACACATTTGTTACAATCCCCAAGAGGCAACCCATCAGGATGCCTCGAGCAAAAGTAGCCAGGCTTTTGTGCGCTTAATCAATTAGGAAACACGGCCAGCACTGCAAAACCGTACCACTATAAGTTTGTCTGCATCAAGTGTTGGAGCTTCGGCAGAAACGCAGTAAACCAATTTTGGGGCAGAGGATATCCCGGGCAAAGCTACCGTAGTATCTAGCAGTTGTCCGTTTCGTGTACGCCTGCCTGCACTACAAGAACATCGTGCTACGGAATTGGACAAAGCCACCATACCTGAAATACGCATTTCCTCAGCTACTCCCTCTTCGAATTCTCTTTCACAGTTATCTCCCGCATTCTGTTCTTCTTTGCCGCTCCGGATCTGTGTTGGGAGGCAAACGGTGGGTAATACCAATGCGAGGCCATCCCGCGAGCTTTCGCATCAAAACGTAGCAGTTCCCCAATCCTGGAGCAATCGATCGGGACCTGGAACGTGGAAGTTTTGGGAAAAGACAGTGCAACAACACCAGAACCAGAACATTAGATGGAGAAGCACAATATTGCAGTCTTATGTATGCAAGAAACGGGAATTACAATATATACTGAGAGCATTGATTTCGACTGCATGCTTGTTCTATCCGGGACATCAAAGCCACATGGAAAGGGCCGGTTTTATTCTGGACTGGGATTCTTGATAGCGCCTTGGACCATCAAGTCCATCATCGGCCAAATATCGCTTCCAGACAGGTTTGCAACCCTGAAGCTCAAGATCCTTGGCGGCATACTCAATATGATTTCGGCTTACGCGCCGCATGAAGGTCACGATTACGAAGGCAGGCGCGAATTTTTCGACCAGCTCACGAAAGCCTGGCCGCTACCCAAAAAGCGCACCACCACTATCGCATGCGGCGACTTCAATGCGAGATTATACGACCGGGAATATGAGGACGAAGACATCATAGGCGAATTCTTTTTCCAAAGCGCCACGACAAAGAGCAGACTTCAATAGGGACTTGTTGTTGTTGGCCTGCCAGGCGACATCCACCGCAATTGCCAACACATGTTTTGAACAGCCTTTGGGAAACCTTGTTACAGATTATGGGATGGAGGTGGACAGGACGAGTCCGATTGGAGAAGGCTTTGCTCAAATTGACTGCTGCCTGGCTGGCCACGGCACGATTTGGCAAATGACAAACATATGGGCAGATCGGACAATCATATGGTTTCGAGGCATTTTCTACTACGTATGCTTTTGGATATCAATCCGACACTACATGCACGAAACAACGCAGAAGCAAATACCGCTTGAACGCGCGGGTGGTGGACGACGACGCTGCTGGAGATTTTCGCCGCCGTTTCGTCGAGGCAGCGGTGGCGCCAACAAATCCCAACATTTGAGATTCGCATGCCAAGCACAGCATGGTATATGCTGCAGAAGCAGTCAAGGAACGTGGGAGGGGACCCAACCGACCATGGATTTCTCAAGCTACACTGGATTTGTTGACTGAGAGGGATGGTAGCCCATAAAAGGGGAACTTTCTGGAAGAGCACAAACTCACATGACTTATCAAGGCATCTGTGACGGGAGACAAAGCAAAGGGTTGGATTCCCAGCTGGTTGGTGGAAAATGGGCAGCTGCACGGGCCGTTCGGCAAGGGCCCCGTAAGAAGCCAGTGCACATTCGCAACAAACATGGGCATTTGGTGGAGACCGCGCAACGCGCTGATGCATTGGCGGACCACTTCAAACAAATCCAATGGGAAGTTACGCATGCCGATCTTCTACCGAGTGGGGGAACGAACGTTGGAGACACATTGGGCATATACACGGGGACATTCGATATGGAAGAGATTCGACGTGCACTCCGGGCTCCCGCCGCTGGGAAAACAGGGGGCATAGACGACATGCCCCCAGAGTTCTGAAAAACATTATTGTTTTCAGAAGAGGCATGCGGGGAGCTGTTAATCTTCTTTCAAAGGTGTTGGGACGAAAAGAACACACCAGAAGAATGGCATACCTCAGTCGTGGCACTTTTATACGCCAAAAAAGGGGCACCAGCTTGCCGGAGAGAATTACCGCCCGATCTCTCGATTGTCGATTCGGTGCAAACTTTTGGCGCGGATGCTACAAGAGCGAATTCAAAATAGCGGGCCCGAGAACCGAACTCGTTCAACCCAATATGGTTTCGACCCAGGCAGAAGCATTGCCCAGGCGATCAGCGCTGCCCAGAGGATGTTCGAGGCCGCAGAGACATGTCAATCTCCCGGGTTCGTTGCAGTCTTATTGGACTGGTCTAAAGCCTTCGACCGGATCAAGCACGATGCGCTCCTGGACGCGTTTCGAATGTTCGGCATCCTTGCAGACATGTTGAACATTATAGTGGCGATCTACATATACAGAAGCTTTGTGTTGCGGGACCCCGTGGTAAATTCCATCAAACGTCTTCAAGCAGCAGGGATCGCACGAGGGTGCCCGTTATCACCGTTTTTATTTATCATCGTTCATAGTGCCATCATTTACGACGTCGACAACATAATGATTGGCCTACGCGATGTCATCCGGGAGCCCAACTGTTTGGCATGCAGTGACTCGTTCTACGCCGATGACACAATGTTACTCAGCAGCGATTCTGGGAAGCTCTCAACGCTACTCAACAAAGTCATTGACGAAGGCGCGAAGTATGGCTTAGCTTTGGTTTGGGATAAAACTGCATGCGTGCGTGTACAGAACACTTGTACTCTGCTTCCTCCCGCCGGCGCGCCGCTGAAACTAGTAGAGCAAGCGGTGTACTTAGGAGGACACGTGAATGTAACGTGCTCAGCACAACCTGAAGTCACTCGGAGAACTGTTGAAGCCAAGCCACTTTTCTTAAAAACGTCTCACTGTTGGTCGCACGCTGAGACATGCCGCGGTCGGAAAATCCAGCTGTGCAGGGAAATTGTCTTGCCCACGCTGCTGTATAGTTTAGAGGTTGCATGGCCATTGCAACCTGACAGAGCCCGGCTAGACAGCTTCCATGCGCAATGTTTGCGTCGTATGTTCATAATTCCGATTGCGTACGTGCCCAGAATTTCGAACAATGAAGTT